GTGGTATCGCGTATGCCGCGCGCCCCATCCGTCAGACATTGTAGCAAAGTGAGCACTGCCCGCGCGTGGCCCAACGTCGCGGCACGCATTGCATGTTCTCGCGCGCCCGCGCGAGATGGCGGGTTCTCGCCAACAGAGCGTGCTTGGTCGGCATTGAAAAGCTGTTCAGCTTGACACTCTGCTGGCGCATGGCCGCAGCGATGTCGCACACTCCCTTCAGAAGGACTCTCGCGCGCAGAAGCCCTGAGGCGCAATGGGGGCGATGCGGGCGGCCATCACCGACCACAGCAAACATCGCCCACGGGGTGGGGACCTGCCGCGCATCACTAACTACAGTCGGGGCGTTGACCTAAGGAACCCCAAATAAGGAACAAGGCCCCTTTTTTCCATGAGTTAAACTTCGATTTCCGATCGAAAACATAAGAACAACCTGAGGCAAGCTGCGAAACACTTAAGGAACGCGGAGCCCCTCCCCAACGAAGAGGGTTCCTTCTTCAGGGCCCCGACTGTACGCTTATGCCCCTGGCGAGCTGGACGCCGCGACTTCGACGGCCGCGCATGGCAACGCAGCGCTGCCCGAGCCTCTGATCATCCTCGTCGCTGTCGCGCCTCACGCGGGCTCGGTGTGAGGGTGTGGGGCGGTTGTGGGGCGACTGCGCGTGCTCGCGATTTGGCGGGCGTTGCTCTCGTCGATGCGAGCTGCCATCGCGATCGCATGCGCGCGCGGGGTACTGCTTAGTATCATCACGTCCGAGTTCGGCGCTCGCGCGGGTCAGTGCGGACATCCCCAGGATACCCGCCTTGTCGTCGACAACGAAGACGACCGTGAACAGTCCGAACGGGTCGTGGTTGTGCCTCGCAACGAACTTCGTCTCAACAAAAGCTTGCTCGGCGCACTCCTTGTCGCGAGCAGATGCAATGCGGGCGCAGACGTCAGCAGAGCTGGGAGTTCAGTTTGCCTTGCAAGGGTCAAACTCTATCTGCATGTCCGCCTCTGGTGTGTCCTCGTGGTCGAAAGCCATCGGCGAGTAGGTGGATCTCCCGGAGTAGGCTGTGCTCATTCACCTGGCCTGGCCTAGCAACATGTGCCTGTAGATGCCAGGGTGGAAAGCTGACCATTGACCTCTCCTCGCTGGCGCCGTTCGAAGTCAGGGCGCAGCGTCTCCAAGATCGCGACCGCCCTCGGAGTGGAAGAGCAGACCTGACCTGCGTAGGCACCACAAGGTTCCTCCCCTCTGGCACTGGCGGGAACCTCCAGGACTTGCTGCGCTTGTCCTCGGGGAGATCCTCGTTCTCCGACCTCCGGAGCGCTGCGCAGGGCTGCTGCGAGACGAGGGTCTATGGTGCTTCCGCGGGGAGGGCAGGGCGACGCGGCCGTCGAGCTCGAAGGGCTGGACGCTGGAGCCCTGGTGCTGGACCTCCCCCGAGCGGCGCACCTCCCCGCACCTGGCGAGGAAGGAGCGCACGACCCTCTCCGCGAAGAGCGCGGGCCGCACGAGTGCCCGACGTGGCCGCAGAGCTCCAGGTCCCGCTGCTCGGCAGGTGGAGCCCCCACCCGCGCAGGAGCGACGGCCCGCAGTCCTCGTCGCGCACGCCTGTGCAGGATGTGCAGCGAGTGGTGCATGCTCCGATGGGCCCGCTTTCCACCACCACCACCACCACCACCACCACCACCACCACCACCATATGTTGGGGGGGAAGGAGGAGGACGAGGCGGAAGAGAACGAAGAGGAGGAGGAGGAGGAGGAGGAGGAGGAGGAGGAGGAGGAGGAGGAGGAGGAGGAGGAGGAGGGGAGGAGAGGAGGAGGAGGAGTAGGAGGAGGAGGAGGAGGAGGAGGAGGAGGAGGAGGAGTCCGGTACCCGCTGGGGAAGCGATCGCATTCCAACATGCATCAAGACAGCCGCACGGTTCCTGCGCTCGAGGAGGAGGAGGAGGAGGAGGAGGAGGAGGAGGAGGAGGAGGAGGAGGCGGAGGAGGAGGACCCCCTCCCCCTCCAACTTATGGTGGTGGTGGTGGTGGTGGTGGTGGAAAACAGGCCCATCATGCTCGGGACCTCGGCCAGCGTCGTCAGCAGGGCATCGGAGGCGCCCAAGCGCGCGGCCTCCCCGTCGGCGCGGCGCTCGTGGGCGCGCGTCCGTGGCGCCTGGGAGGGGGCTCGACGGCGTCTGCGGCAGGGGCGTGCGCTGCAACAGCGCCGGCGCCTTCAGCCCGATCGCGCGCCGCGCGAGCAGGCCGCGAGGAGCCCGAGCGACTGCGCCAGCGCGCGCGTGCCCAGAGCCGTGCCGAACGGGAACAGACGGACGAGCGGTTCGCGGAACGAGATCCGATCGAGCCCAGATCTCTCGAGACGGTGAAATGGCTTGAGCCAAAATGGCCACGGGCGAGGAGGCGGAGGCGCAGGCGGAGGCGGAGGCGGCGGCGGAGGCGGCGGCGGAGGCGGTGGCGGGGGAGGAAGAGGAGGAGGAGGAGGATCAGCAGCAGGAGCAGGAGCAGGAGGAG